GTTGTGTTTTGTGTTGCATTTGCGCTTTGCTTCATCCATCAGAATAATGTGCTTTTTTTTTTTACAAAGCAGTTATTTAAAAGCTCTTTATCCATGTTGTGTTGCATTTGCGCTTTGCTTCATCCATCAGAATAATGTGCTTTTTTTTTTTACAAATAATTATGCAGTTATTTTCTCATTATGCAAATAAGGTTCTTCATTTGTTATATTACTCATTATCCACTGTAGATAGAGAAGTGTGTGTTGCTTTAGCTGATGAGGGTCTGTGGGTTTTGCTAATGCTTAAGATTGGATCGACACCAGTATTGATACTGATGAAATGAAACTAGTGCTGTCAATATATAATTTAATGTCCGTGTCCAAATTTGTAATATATTTTTTGTAGGTCATACACATTCAATTTTTTAAGGAGAAAACTAAATTGTAATTTTTAAAAATATATATTTTTTGTAGGTGAAATTTAGTTATGTTTAAGGACAGAAAACAAAATCGTAATTTGTATGTGTAGAGTTTTGCAACTCGTTTGGAATTCATCATTAATTATAATAAAATATGTTCATTAAAATTTTAATTAAATATATTTAATAGTGTTTTTTTTGGTGGAACAGACTGAGTTCTGATTAATTTGTGTGGGGTTTGGCAATTTGTAATTATAATTATTATAATTTAAATGTTATTTAAAACGATAATTAAAATATTTTTTAGGTGAAATTCAGTTTTAGGAAGAGAAAATGGTCATTTGTAAAATAATTTGTATGTGTTGTGTTCGGCATTTCATTTGTAATTCATCAATAATTATATTTAAAATATATTAATTAAAAGAGTACATGGACATTCTACTCCCCACACACTTTCTCCTATCCCAGTATAATTTAAAAATACAACTATAAGTGATTCATAAGCTGTGTCTCGGAGGTTGCATTTATCATCCGTCATAGAGCTTGTCTCATTTCAGAAAAGTAAAAATGAGAGCAGCAATAGTTTGATTTCCTTGAAAAAGCAAAAAGGTTTGGGTCGGAGCTATTTGTTTGTTCAGCCAATCAGAAACATCCCAACTGAAATTGGTGATGCTGGTGGCAGATAACACTTTACACACCAGCTTTAAAGTACCTAATCTGGTTCATAACAAACCAAGACAGTTTGTATCTATGATCTCATTGAGATAATAATAATAATGGTAATAATAATAATAATGAATGAATAAATAAAAAGATTAACTGGATTAGTTTACCCACATGGACATGCTGTCTCAGTTCTTCTAGCCCGCTTTCTCTTTCGGCAAGCTTTTTTTTTTTCTCTCTTTCTGTTTCTCTTAGTCTCAGTCATCACATCCCGACAGCGAGGTGACCTCTGACCCCTGTCCTCCCCTTGACCCTGAGCAGGACGACTCCGCCTCCTCTCCGCCCGCACCTCAGCGGGTGGTGGAGGTGGCCATTCCTAATGTAGGAACCTTTGTCATTCAGTCGAAGGAGGGAGGTTATGATGATGAGGTAGAGTCCCAGAAGGCGTTCGGTCATGAGCGTGCAGCCCTAAATCTCCCAGCATCCCTTTCACAACCTGCCAAACCCATTTCAGATTAACATTATATGCAAGTTACTCCCAGTGGACTCCCAAACTACTAACATTGCCCCCGGTAAAACGTTACAAAATAGGAAACGTTCTGTTTTGCCTGACTTTTTTTTACCTTCATAAAGCATGTAGTGCAAGCTTCAGATCATAGTGTTGTTTATTTTCACTTTAATTTACTGTCTACACAGCTCACTATGGTGTTCATTACTTATTTAAAGAAGCAAAAGACACATTAACCTGCATGATGATCCTGTTTTGAATGTTTAATCATCTTTAATGCTGTGGGCATGACATCGGATTAGCTTTTCTGTTCAAAGCTAATTTGTTTACTTCAATGGGTTGGCTTGAGTTCATTCACTGGTGGCTGAGCTGTGGTGTGATTGGCATGCGGACTGGCCAATGAGAGTTTTGGAGGCATGGCCGGTGTAGTAATATCCTTCCCTCCTTGGGCAGGCGATGATGACCCCAAACATGCAGGGTGTCATAATGGCCATTGGCAAATCCAGGAGTGTTTATGACAAGTGTGGACCTGAAGCAGCGTTCTTCAAGGTACATGACCTGCTGCATGCCACACTCCCTGTGCATCACATTAGCTCTTTGACCACACTTCCTCCCCCTGAGCATCTCATTATCTCTGTGAGCTCACTATTTACACTGCAGGCTATGAAAACCCTCTGCATCCTGTTTTATTATGCAGTTAATGTTCTTTATTCATTCTATTATTCATTATCCACTGTAAATCGAGAAGTGTGTATAAGTTTGGTTGACACCTAAGATTGGATCGAAATCAGCCTCCAGCGATTTGGTATCAATAGTGATGAAACCAAATTAGTGCTGTCAATATAAAATTAAATGTCAGTAATTCGTATTTATTTATTTGTTTATTGTAGGTGATAGGCATTCAGTTCTATTTAAAGAGAAAAACTAAATATTAATTTGTAAAATAATTTCTATATTTTGGGTTTGACAGTTAATTTGTAAATCATCAATTATAATGTTATTTAAAAATAGAATGAAATTACATTTAATGTATTTTTTGTAGATGAAACCGAGTAAGCAAAGTAGTAATTTGTAAAATAATTTGTATGTGTTGGGTTTGGCAATTCATTTGTAATTAACCAATATCAAGTATTGAAACTTTTCAAAGTGATGATGTTGAGGTACCGCAGTTTTTTTTTTATTTTTATTTTTTATCGCTGTCACCATCTGCTGTCAATTAAATGTAATTGCTGCTGTGTATTATAAAGGGTGTTTGTTTTATAAAATAGCATTGGTTTTGGTATCTTAGGCTGTGCAGTATTGTGTACTTCACACAACATGGCAAAAAACGTTGAGTGCTAATTAACTTTAAAAATGACTCCATTAAATCATTTAAAACAGCAAGTGGTAAGTAAATATTGTCAATTGTCTGTTAGACTTTTTAACATTCTGTCAAGTGTCTACAGGTGAAAAATAGCCTTTCGGCTAATTGTGGCACATTTTAATGTGCATTTCCCATGTAAACAAATAAACTTAAACTTAATTGTTTCATTGGCAGATCTCTGTAGGCCTCTGTTTTGTGCCTTCACTTGTTGTCCAGATGTGCATTTTTACTCTGCACGCAGGCTGTTATTTCTACAACTAAAGATGTTTGAGTCACATCACATACATTACAATCACATGCAACAAATCAGTCATTACTTTTTTGTATCTTCTGTTGTAGATGGAAAGATTCAATTATTTTCTTGCTCATTTGCATTTTTAAGTCCTTCTAAATAAACACACCCATCTCTGCATATCTCTAATTCTCTTTCTTTCCCACTGTTTCTCGACTTCTTTCTATCTCTAACAGGCAGTGAAAGTAGAGTACACTCGTTTACTGAGGTTCGCTCAGGAGGACACGCCCCCTGAGAGAGACTACCGACTGCAGCATGTCATTGTTTACTTCATTCACAACCAGGCACCCAAAAAGATTGTGGAGAGAACTCTGCTCATGCAGTTTGCCGACAGAAACCTTGGCTTTGATGAGAGGTATGAGTCATGAATCTTTATTTAATTATATATTTTTAATTCTTTTATTTTTTTAAATAAAATGTAATTAATTTTATATTTTTGTTATTTTATTTCATATATTTCTACAAACTGCAAAGCAGCTCTCTAAAAAGCAAGTGCTAAATAAAATTACTGCTTTTGAGTCTGATTTTTTTGTATTTTATTCTATTAATATTTAATTTAAGTAAATTGTATTTTTTATTTTCATCAAGTTTTTACTTGATTCTACATCAGATCATAAGGATTCTATACAACACAAAACTACACACTTGTATGGATGTGATTACATATTATAATGCTCAGCTGCATTTATTTTACAGGGTTCCCATCATAGAAAGCCTGGAAACATTAGGCAGTTTTAAAATGGGATTTATAGGCCTGTAAAACTAATGGAAATTTTAAAAAAAAATTCACATTAATAAAAAAAAAAAATCCATTATTTTTTTTCTAGTTATGCTCCACTCTAAAATATTTCGGCAGCTAGAAAGTTTTAAAAATACAGTAAAACTACTTTAAAAATCATGGAAATTCATTGGTCAAAAGCTGTGGGAAACTTGATTTATAACAAATGTATACTAATATTTTGTGCAAAAAAAAAAAAAAAAATCAGATTTTTTTTTTTTGTCCCCCAAATTATTATTTATTTTTTTTGCAGAAGCTGAAGTGTCCAAATACTTTTTGGGACCACTGTATTTTTTAACAAGCTTTCCAACAAGTTTGGCTCGGAAATACTCTTTAACTTCACTTATGAATGGTGTTTGTATTATACAGTTAGTTGAACATCAAATTGACAAATATGAAAAGCAAGCATTAGCCACACACAATGCCATAGCTTGACAGGACCACCTCACTGATAACTGATTGATTTTAGGAGCGAACACTCTTCCAAAGGCCAGTTCCGTCTCGAGCCTCCCAGACTGACACAGACAGTGATTATCAGCTCGTCACAGCAGTCGCTGCTGTTTCTGATCGTGTTACCAAACAGCTTCCTATCTGTGCGCCCGAAAGGCTTTTGTCTCGCTATACAGTCTCGTGTGTCTCCAGAGCAGACTGCACACTCCAGTGTGGAGCATGATCCATATTCATAAGCAAATTGATTTCTTCCTCTTCTATTTTGAGCAAGGTAATTAGATTGATGTGAGCGCGGCCCCAGATGCGACACTCTCTTTCCATTCTGTTTTGGGTAATAAAGTATGATTCATGGCCAGAGGACGCAGCTCGTTCCTGAGAGCATCTCATGAGTCACGCCTGAGCTCCCTGTTCTTCCCTGCAGGTGTAAGAGCATCATGAAGGTGGCACGTGCTAAACTGGAGCTCATTAAGCCTGACGAGGTGAACATGGAGGAATACGAGGTGAGTGAAGTGTTTCTTATTCAGGTTTGGCCGCTGTTTGAAATTGAATTGTGAATAAGTCCGTTTCTGAATTACTGAGGTTGGAAACAGGATGCAGATTCATCATTTGAATTATGTATTTGGGTTTTGTCACAAAACCAAAAGACTTTTGTCTCTGTTGATTTTCTTTAAAATTGCAATTTAGTGAATTCCTCTTCCTGTTGTTCCGATTAAAATTCAGCTTCCAGTGGGGCATGGCCTTTTCAATTAAAAGTAATTATTATGAAAAAAAATAAATATAATAATACAAGGAAGAAGAAAACCATACAAGGAAGTATCTAAAAATAATAAATATATAATATAAAAAATATACAGTATAATTAAAAGTATGTGTGTATATATA